CCATTAACTATTTAATTATCATCGAAATATTTTAGCTAATGTCCATACATAATTATACGTATATATATCGATCAATTAATGAATAGTGGGTTGACATGTTTCTCCAAGCGTCCTAATATACTTTACTTGTTCACCAATAATATATCGGTTTGGAGTAAGGTTAATTCTTCGAAAGAATTTTCATCCCAAAACATACATATATAGACACAAAAAAGGACTAATAATGAGATTTCTAAGGCAAAACAAGAAAGGCTAATGTCAACATAAGTTGGCACAAACAGGAAAAAACACTTGTAGTAACACATCATATTCATGATAGTTTGTTAAGGTATACAAGAATTAATACTAATGTTTTCCCAAATAACAATATGCCAAAATATCAAATTAAAGGTCTTTCCAATGGAGATTTCATTTGATCCACTAAAATTGTCAGCAGTTAGAGAAAGAAGGAGGAGCCGGAGAGCATGACATATCCGCTATGATCAGTTGAATTCAGTAATTTTGATCTAAGCGCGCTTTACATAAATAAAAATATATAATCACTAATCACTGTAACAACTTATGCTTTTAGGTGAAATTAATGTTCATATGATATATGAGCAGATAGAAGAGTGAGTTCGAGTTTCAGTTCCATCTATTATCAAAATGAACTTTTACGTATTTAACTCATGAAAGAGAACCTGGTTGCACGTGAGAAGACGTGTTAATATACATATAATCGAATAAAAAAACTATATATTAGATGAAGTGGTCGCACATTTCAATACCTATATTTGTTATATGAAATCTATTACTTCCTTCATAGGCCAATTTATGTATCACTTTTTTTTTTTTAAAGTCAGTCTGTTGAAGAATGAAAAAGTCTCACATCAATGATTAATAAGATGAGTGATCTCTTTATATGGACATGAATAATTATGTTCTCATGATAACCTAACTTTTGGGGTCGAATAATTCTCCATAAGATCCATTTCTTTATATATGAAGTACGTACATAGTTTTAAATTCATAAACTTCATATCCTCAATCCATTGTTTATAATTTTCACATGTCTAGGACACATGGGACTAGATGCCACGTGTCATGTATTGATTGGGACCCCCATGTCATGGAGTGTTGGGTGACAATGGCAGTATGGCCATGCTGCTTTGTCTCCCCATAATCATAAATTCTTCTCCTTTGAGGTCCCAAACTCCCATTCTCTTTTAGGGTCCCATATGTTTATATGTTAGGCTACTCATAATCTATATATATATTTTTTAATTTCTCTCCCGGTGTTCGGAGCCCACATTGAAGCTTCGACTAAATTTGGATCATGCCCATTCAAAGGTGGCGCTCCAAACAGGAATTTTTCCATACCCAAGACTCGAACCGAAACCTCTAGTTAAGGGTGAAGAACTCCCACTAGTGCACTAATTGATACTCATAATCTTTTATTTCCTCTTATCTTTGACTGATAAGTTCTGTTAGGTAAGTTACAATTTTGATTTTGGTCCTCATCATTTCTGATTAGGTATATTTAACTTTTAATTAATTGACCAGTGACCTAGATTTTGAGTCATTCAATTATTGATGTATAATATTGAATTTATATCGTTATTTCCTATTTGATGATAGCACATATAGTTCTAAAAATGATTTAAGTATTATATCATATCTTTCTAATATAAAGGGAGAAAAACACATATCTTATAAAACTACTTAGCTTAATATTATAAGGACTACAATGAGATTCTATTAATAATGGAAGAATTAAAAGTGCAATTACCCTTAAAAATATAGCCATATATTATTAGAGGTGAATTCAAATTTTAGAAAAGGCAAATAACTAGGTTTTGAATAAATATTTGTATACATTAAGTAAATTATTGAATCTATAATATAACTAAAGCTCTAGCTCCGATCTAAATTTTCGAGATATATAAATTTTGATTATTTTTATCATATGTATGAAAGGAAAAGAATCCAAATGGGCTCTCATATAGTTATTATGGCCTCACATTTAAAAAAAATGTCCATTATGGTGTAAACAAAACGTCAATTACACTACAAATCATGTCTGTACTTCTGTTTTCACTATTCTTTATGTCGGTTTTACCATGCAGATCATGAACTATTTATCTTAAAGTTTTACGAGTTTATAAGATTATTGAGTTTTCATGAACCAGTAAATTATCGTGCGTGCATTTCATCCCTATAATTCCTTATATATAGATATATAAGGTCATGCTAATTTTCTCTGTATCATTATAATTTTATCAGATATTCCAAAAGGAATGCATACCTCTACGATGTTGGTAGGAGCGAAGCCAGGATCTGATCATCTAAACCCCCTCTGACGAAAATATTATTTTTTTATGTTTATACTTTATACAGTAGACATTGAATTCCCTTTGATCAACTTGTTTGTATATTTCCTTCTTCGAATTCTGAATTCTCTTAATGAAAATTATGATTCTGTGGCATGAGTCATGGCCAAGTTAAAGATGAGCACAAAAATGAGATACAAGCATGTCAAAGTAGGAGAGGCCGTTACTTTTTGTGTTTTTTTTTCTTCATATTAGACAAAAAAACTAGCTTATCTCACATCCAAAATTCTGACATCCTTTGACTTCATTGCATATTCTTTTCTATGTTCAAACTTATTATTATTGAGCTAAATGAAGAATTGCCCTCCAATTTTGGTCAAAGAGTATTCATGTATAATTTCCTAAAAGTGTTGAACAACAACTTTATTAGAAGCAAGAAAACAAATACATGTGCCAATGAACCAGTTTTTCCAACTTTGAAAGGGCTAATAGGACAATGTTAGCAAGATGACAAAATTTGTAGTTCTTTTGGAGTTTGCAAATAACGTACGTACTCCATATTATAAGAAATACTTTTTGAAAGACAAATTATGATTTGTAATAATGTGGTAGACATCACTAAACTACCATACAATACTAATGCTCTTCCTAATTTGTAATTTTGCCTAGTATATATATTTATAATATTATCATGTTAACGCAAAAAATAGAGTAGCTTAAAAAGAGTTATAAATAAAACAAGGTTAGCAGGGTGACAAAAAGTTGTAGTTGCTCAGATATTTGCAAATGATGCAGTATTGTGACGCCTATAGGTTCCTCGTGTGAAACTTAGATGTTGAAGCACGCACCTCAATCACCCTATCCGTGTGAATTGAACGAACTTCAAAGTATAAATGAATTTTACATATTGAAATAGGAGAAGAAAATTAGGAATCTTACAAGAATGGGTTCATAATTAACTATTTGTGACATATTTTGGGTTAAAACTCAAGAAATAAATTTTTGCTCGCCTAGGCTCAAAATAAACAATAGCTTAACAGTTGATTCAAGACATTACAAATGGTATCAGAGCATGACTCTTCCTCAGTACTGTGATAGGGAAAAACCTTAGAGAGGACATGAGTCCTAGGGTGTGCAGGTATGTGACGTCCATGACGGAGAGCAAGCCTTTAAAAAGAAGGTTGTACACAACACCTTATGAATCCCACATCAGAAAAACCTTTTAGAAAGGCTAGATAGGACAAGGTTAGAAAGATGACAAAAATTGTACAATTTATTTTAGGGGATAAAAAAGTAGCATAGCAAAAGTAATAAATTACAAAGGCAAGGAGTGCCATTTACTAAGCCATGCTGAAAATCTAAAACAAAGATATGAAAGGGTGGTAGGAATCCTGCACAAACACATGGGACATGTCCTAGAATTCTCTTATTCTTATTTATTGTATGTATTATATGTATATGAATTCTGTTATGATCAAATTAATTATGCAATTATGTAAACTATATATTAAATGCTTCACCTAATTACATGAAGATGGGGTTGTTATAAAGGAGGATTTCCAATCACAAGAGAATGATCAACATAAGTGATCTTTGATTAACAACATGTTTCATGTGAGATCCATAAGAAAGATTTTTGACTCCATTACCTTGTATTTGTCATGTGTTTTTGTTAAGCTTTTTGTATATCCTTGACTTCTAAAATTTGAACTAAGACTAAAGATTTGTCGGTAGATCAACAAGCTCGATCTCTAATTTTTCAATAATCTTTTCAATTATGTAAAAATATTAGCATACTTTATAATTTACTTCATTATATACTCAATATGTCAATAGCTAGAACACTTTATTAATAACTTGTTAGAGTAATATTTTGATAATGCTAGTGAGACTCAAACCCAAAATGAGTTCTGCTCTAATAATATTATTGAAGTGTGTATGATAATCTCTAATTCTAAAAATTTAAATTATTAAAGAGATCATATATTTTAATTTATTTAATTATATTTTCAACAATACTCTGTGCTTCGACTAGATGTTTTACTTCCCCGGGCCAATAGATCTTCCTATCCTTATCCATCAAAAAATGTTATTTATATTTTTCCATTGTGTATATATATCCTATATCGATATCTATATATCACCAATGACCCCTTTTCCTTTTGATTTTATTCATTCTTGAACAACATTAATAAACTTGACCTAAATCATTCAACTTTGCATAATTTTAATATCTTAGAAATTAATTAGAAGTGAGTAAACTATTAATCTTTTTGTAATGAAAAGTCATTCAATTTTATCAAAATATCACGTAGAGTCACTAATTAATTCACACGAAAGAAGGTGTTACGTTGCAACCACATTCTCTAGTAACTTAGGTTGGCATACAACTTGATCACTCTCACCAGATTTCACTTGTGGAATCTCACTAGACATGTTATTGTTGATTGAATTTGAATTCATAATTTCAAATAAACAATGAGTCAACATTAATAAATTAAAAATGTTAATTATTATACGGAACAAATTAAATTCTGAATCCGTCTCTGTGTCTAAATCCGAGTGGGGCCATGGTGATTGAGAAGTTTAAAGGAAGGAGGAGACATGGGGAGGCCGCCAATATCTTCAAAAATGTAGTGAAGGATGAGCATATCCAAGCACCTGCATGTTCTACCTTCATCTCCCTACAAAACCTGCATTTAATGCCATTCATTGCCCTTTTCCTACTACTTATATGCCCACTAAATTCATTGCCAATATCCCAACACAACCCTAGCTAGCTATCAAGTTGCACTATTTTCAAGAAAATAATACCCTATAACCTATTATATTCATAAGCTTGCCCAAAAAAAAACAAAAAAATGTTCATCAATATGTCTAAGTTTCTTGTTTATCTTTTGGTTTGTATTTCTCTTCATGCATGTAGTGCTAGACCACTAGCAAATATTGATGACAAAGAAAACAAAATACTACTCTCTAGCAAGGTTTGCTCACAAATATTTCTTTCCTTCTTGATTTGTATAACCGTCCATCAAAATAATAGCAATACTCTCTAGCCAATATATACTAGTATTTTTTACTAGAGAGTGTAATTATTTTGACTGACCGACCAAATATGTAACTTGTCCTTGTTTATTTGCAGGATGTAACAATTATGACTAGTGACACATCAAAAACAGAAGGAAGAATAATTATGTCTGAAGACATTGGAAAAGATGATGGAAAACTTATGTGGAAAAAGACATCAATTGTTGCACGAAATCAATTAGACGATGAAGAAAATAAAGGTAGTTTTGGCACGTTAAAAATTTCCGTTATTGTTGAAACATGTTAATTGTCATAGCTTGTGTAGTTCCTTTCAGAGCTTACTTTTATTAAATTATACCTCACTACACCCGATGGGTTCGATAATTTAAACACGTGGAAATTCTTTTTAATAAGTATATATATATATGGTAGTGAGACTCAAATTCATGCGGCAAAACCTCTTGCCTGCTATGATATCATATTGAAATTATGACCATGTTATCTGAAAAACTTGAGCTACTAAAGAAAATATACTTTTATTTACTCAATATCTCTCAATAACTATAAGGTTGTACATATATATAATACCCGATCATTATTGTCTAAGGTAACAACATAGTCTATGTATGAAAAAATAAGAAGAAAAGAAACTCACATTTTATAATATGTATTACTTCCTTTGTAACTCACCTAACCAAGCTTGTTTGGTGACTTTAGAATTAATGTCATATTTTCCCATGTTATGAGTGACAATATTTTCAAGAACAGATAAAAAAAAAATAGAGGGAATTTTTATTTTATTTATGTTTTGCTTCCTTTTAAATTCATGAATGCAACTTTTTTTCTTCTTTACAACGTTAATTTACCCTTTAGTAATTTTCTTATATATGACGAAATATGTGTTGTGACTAACAGGAAACAAGGTTGAGATATCGTTTCATGAGGGAGCTCAAGTAAAGGTAAAACTCTAATTTCTCTCTCTCTAGCTCTACACAATATAATTAGTGTTTAATTAATTCATGTCACTGAATAATTAAAATTAGTACTATATATATATATGATGTGCAGTATTTTTTGGAAAAGTCAAGTTTTACCCTCATACTTAATAATTATAAGAAACAATAAAACTTCTTTTGTGACCCAAGAATCCTTTTTTTTATTGTTAAAATAAGTGGAGTCCAAGATTTGTATTTCATTTTTTATCAACTATCGACATGCACATTGTCGTCAACTTAAAGGACAACATAGATGCAATTTCTATGTATAATCACTTGATATGTAAGTATATATATCTTTTACCTGCTATAAGAGGTTAAAATGTAAAATGCATGGATTCTTTGAAAACACTATCGATATTTATAAGTTAATGTGCTTATACTAAACATTTTATGCAGATATCGAGGAGAGAATCGCGGTTGATGCTAGAATCTCCACTGTCAACACAACACGAGGAAGAAGCAGTGAACTCCATTGAAAAGGAACTCGTGGAAGACGTAGTAGTTATGGATTATGCACAACCCCATAGAAAACCACCAATTCACAACACGAAACACTAAAATATATTGTAGATGAAAACCATCATATACTTATATGTATTTTATTTTCTCGTTTATACGTATGTGAGACCTGTCAGTTTTCGTTTTTTTTTCTTCTTAAAATTATTATTATTGTTTTGGCAAATGAAGGAGAATCCTAGATGAGATCATACTCCATGTATGTACAAATAGAAATGACTAAAAATTGCAAAACTGCTAGCAAAAAATATCAATGTTATATATTATGTTACATTAATGCATATGGTTGAGGTTTATTGAGGGCATGATGTGGATGTATATGGTCCCTCATATTATTGTCTTGTTTTTATCAAGTGTACCTTATATTAAAAAAAAGAAGAAGAGTGCATATAAATATATAGGAAAAAAAGTAGCAGTGGTCTCTCTGCTGTGAATGTGTTGGTTGGTTTTCTTCTTTAGTGATGGAGACAGTTATGTGGTAGTTTCTGTTTTTTGTCTCTTTTTTAAAGTCCTTTGCATTTGCTATCCAAGAAACCAAATCTATTTTTGTCATTTATTATGTGTACAGCCATAAGCAGGCAACAAATTTGCTATTTGTCACCTCTTGTTCTTGAGTTTGGGTTGGGCGGATCGAGTCAAATTGATTGTCGGATCAAGACTCAACCCATCCAAAGTTTGGGTCAAACAACGGGTCATAACCCGACTCATCTAGCATAACCCAAACCAATTGAAGGCAGCAAGTAATAAGAGTCTCAACAAATTGGAAAGATTAGTTTACTGTTTTCTGCATTTATCCTGACCTCAAATGTCATACCTAATTTTTTCTATTTTGCATCTAGAAATGGTCTTTTTTAAGAGGAAATTCATACAATTGTTTAAAGCTAACACCTAACTAGAAAAGATCCCAAATTCAAACATCAATAAAAAGAGAATAAGCAATTGCTCTCATCACTGATCGCATTACAGAAAACAGGAAGGGGAAAATCAGTTTAAAATTATACGAACATAATTCTATATATAAGAACCTGAGCGCAGGACAATTGGGCTTGCAGCTGCAGTTCTATCCTTTTGCAATCAATCAGTATTGAGATGTGGCAACTATGTTGATCATTCTACCACCAGGGATGTCGTAGGATGGTTGGGATCCCTCTATCTTTAACCAGAGATCACAATGCAAGAGGGACAGACCCAACTATTGACGAATCACAATCACGTCACACAGCCTGGAAACTAATTTTGAAGCAAAATCAAATAGAAGCATTTTGCAAGTTTCACAGAGCAAAAATGCCTACAGCAGTACCCATTTTACCTAATTGAGGGGATTTTTCACTACAGTTGACAATGAATGGTTTCACGAAATTGATGAATTCTGATCCCCAGTTTAAGATCAATCTCATCAACTCCAAACCAGAAGAAGTCAGGATTGAGGTTGGTGATTGCTTCATCCAAAATCACCTGGTAAAATTAGAATGAATTACAGTTATATAGTAGTACACAACTATTTTCCATAATAGTTGATGTTTGGCTTTAAACAGTGGATGTCTAAGGCTGAATAATTTAATAAATGTATTCACGAAGAGAATCATCAATAAAGTATTTCTTCACCTATCACTTTAAAAGGTTAGCTTTTTTCAGCTAAACATAATTCGTTAGTTGTTGAACAAGTCGCGGTGGCCTTTCCTCTGCTGCCTACTAGTTGCAAAAAGGAAAGCTTCTTATATGCAATTTAATTGTAGGCGAAAGGGTAATTGAAGTGGCCTCTAATGTGAGGTCATTACAAAGTGAGAAAAACTGGCAGGCTGCACATCTAGATCAACAACATTGACAGATACAGATTTTAGGAACAGTGAGCAGTAGCACAGCTGGCACAATGAATAGCATAGAGTCCATTTATTGAAGAGAATGACGGAGAGTAAAACACATACCAAATAGTCCACTTTTCGTCTAAAAGTGGAAAAATAGGGACCCCTCAACATGTATCACATATTATTAGCAATTGGTGTAAGCAAGAGAGTGACAGGAACTGACCCTGGCAACTAGCAGGGCCCAATTTGCTCAAGCTACAGCAAACAGCAATGGACAAGAAGGTTGCACTAGATAATATACCTTGATGTGATGCAAATGAGTGCAGGAGGCAAGAAAGACAGATATTGTGTGTTTTAACCAACAATACGTAGGAGGAATCAATAATTTGCAACAGAAGTGTTCTAGTCAAGTTATAACCTTCATAACCGTGTTATTCACCTAATCTTGGCTTTTATTCGAAGCAACTCAGAAGCTAGCCGATATGGCATTAGCTACTATCAGCAGCTGCATTAGAGAATGTAATGACTTTGACGAGCTGCACAACATTTCAATAACTAATGTGAAAAGTGACATGGGAACAACTCATATGTGAAACTGTAAGCAGAAGAATCTTGGGAAACATTATGACAATTACAGCGAAAAAACAGAGAGACAGAGTACCGGTATGTAGGTCCTCATGCCAATACATGTGACTGCGTTGTGTTTTCATAACCAGTCAGCTTTGCTGATATCTCCTCAGGATCCAGCCTCACTGCATAAGGTATTCAGTTTCTAAAATCATTCTATATGAACTGCTCAAACATAATGACGACCCCACAGAACACTTCAGACCTCCGAAACTTAGAGCATCCAAATTTCTTTGCTCCCAGTAAAGACATGGTTGGAACAGGTCAACAATCATAAGGCATATGAATGATAAAAAGAATGCATAAAACAAGTCCATCTTTAAAAAATTATGCTTTTTAACTGTCGTGTTTTTAGTAAGGTATCGAATCCAAAGGCCAAAAGTAGTTAACACATTCATTGCCACTCTCAAGGAATTACTTTGGAGTTGCTCAGAGAGAATCTAGAACTGAAGTAAACCATTCATGTAAAGAAGTAAGGAAAGAAATTCCAGTATGAGATTTTTTCAGGCCATCCAAGCATTAGAATAACAATTGTCGATTTGTTCCAGTAGTCCATGCTGCCAGACACCCTTCTAACATCTTTAAGGTGCCTGGTGAAGCCATTAACAAGGTTGAACTTTCTTTAATGCAATGGAGTACCCAAATAGTTGAAGATCTTCAACAAGAAGATAAGATTATAAACCTAAAATCAAACTTTAGTGTAGGACAAGCAACATGGATAATCTCCTGATAAGTTGAACATAAAACAAGAGCTGCTCAGATCAAATTTAGCAAAAAAGCCTTCTGGACATAAACGATCCAGATTGGTTAAGACGACTAGAAATGGGCATGAATATGGTAGACATTTGGAGAACAACAAAAATAAAGAGTTAAGTAAACTGAGAACTCCCTTATGCTGTGTTTGAATGGAATGGAAAGAGTGGGTTATAACTCTTGTCAAAAAAACAAGAGTGGGTTAAAAGTCCTTATTTTACATTTGATGAGGTTATATTTTACAGAAAAGGGAAATTGCGCACATAGAAGACATACACATAACTGGGAATTAAGGTATGTATTCCTACCTACAAAGTTCATCCAATGATCCATACAAGAAGGAATCACTTTCATTCCCCAGAAATTTTGAAAAATACAAAACAAAGAGATAGACAGAATTTGATTAAGAACTTTTCTGATCCTTAAAAAGCCCTATGGTTTATTTTCACCAAACAGCACATAGTAACAGTTTATGGGATAACATCCCATGTTCTTCTCTGATATCTCCTTTGTTCACTCCTTTTGAGCATTATCCAACGTAACTAACTCCAACAGGCTATAAAAGGAATCTCCAGACAGCTAATGGTGATTCTACAATGTAAGAAAAAATCAGCTAACATGTATCCTGTTCTTTGAACTCAGGTTCTGCTATATTTACATTCCAAATTAGTAATTACACATTTGGGAGCATTAGCATTTAGAGGGCAATATTGCACTTGATGAAACAATCCTTCTTTCCCTTCCAATGGTGATACATGTTATTTTTTTTAGACTACACAATTACCATGGAGCTAACAAAGTCCAGGAAATATCAAACTTTTGAATTGTGAAGAAAATGGATCTTGAACCAAATCTAATCTCAAAAATTAGCTAATGAGATGAGGATTGGCCGAGACCATATAAGGAGACCACTATTATTCCTTTAACCAATGTGGAAAATCTAAAAAGTAAGCTCATGGGTGAGGATCGCTCAATATTATATAAGAAGACAACAACCCATACCCTGAACCAATTTGGGACACTTAACACCCTTGGCATGCTAGGATGGGCATCTGGTTCTTCCTTTTCTGGTGCACACAGTGCATACCTAGGTAAACTATGGAGAGATGATTCCCCTCTGGCCGGACCTCCCAATCGAGATAAGCTTTCTCTAAGTGGGCGTTTGACCATGAAAATCAAATATTTTTCACTTTATTTGAATTTTTAATGTTGGAGTTCGCCAAACTTTTGGCAAAGAATATTTAGAATATGATTTTTCTAAATATGATTTATATCCCCAATTTCTAAAAACAAGCAAAATTACTCAACTTGACTAATTTACTTGAAACATATGATCTAAACTGCTCCAAAAGAGTAATAATCTCAAAATAGATAGTCACATAGTGTCATAGATAAAATCCTAAATTCAACATACTACTACAAATAATTTTTGCACTTTATTTGGAATTTTAAAGTTGGAGTTGTCTTTGAATATAATTTTTGAAAATAATAATTGGTTGTTTGAATGTACTTTTCCTAAAAAAAGCATGACATACAATTTAAAGCCAGTCCTGTATATAAGTTTTTTTGTACTCCTAGAAAAAAACTCTGCTTCCAAATCATGTTCTTTATCTACACTATACATGTGAAGCCTAAGTCATAATAGCATCCTGCAAGTCTGCAACTACCACAAAATGCAATCAATAGCTCACCAATTTTCCTTTGATGATAGTTTATAATATCTTCAATCCATGATTTGATGCTGCTTCTTTTTTATTTTGTAATCAGTCCCATTCCAACATTATATTAACTGCAAATAGTTTTGACAGCGTAATCTCCACTACGAAATATTTCATCAGTTTCATTAGAGTAGGACTATCATAATGTCTACTCCACTGTCCAGCAATACAAGATGTTCACCATTTTCCTCTTTGAAGTCAGTAAGATGTTCAATTTTATACACTAAAAGAAACAAGAGAAAATACACATCTCCATATATCGCATATTTCATTCATTTAAAGATTACAGTAAAATCTCTCTAAATTAATATAGGCGGGATCATGAAATATTATTATTTTGTAGAGGTATTATTTAATCGATAAATTAATATTTATTAATTTAAAAAGTGTTCGACACTGAAAAAATTGTACAGGGATAAAATCTCAAAGAATTTGAAAGAACTCACTTGTGAACACGTCATTCATGAACTTGAGATCATGATTAATGATCTCGATTACCGCAATAAAATGAACATTAATAACCTATTGGATAGGTGAAAATGATACATGTTCAGAGGTCCAGAGCTTAGAACAAATTGTGGATATCATTGGAAAAACAACATATATCATAAAGTTGAAGATGATACAATACCTTTTAAACCAGTTACGCGTAAGGAAACACTTACATCTAGAACTCTTCACAATTTTATGGTGCAATTAGAAAAGACAACACAGAAATTTTTGGATGCAATAAAAAAAGCTAGAGATAAGCTTCAACTAGATTTAAATTTTAACAAAAAACAGAACATAATAGAATCATATTTCACTAAATTTTCTTAGATATATTTGTACTTTTAAAGAATTATTAATTTATAATATTAATGAGACCATATATTTATATAGGGGCCTTCTGAAAATATATTATCTTATTGAAATGAGTGATTTTTTCCATTGACCCAAGTTGGGACCGGAAGAAATTATTATCTTAGAGAGATTATTAATTAATCGAGTGTTAATTTAGTGAGTTTTTTCTTAATACCTTCAAATCCTTCACTGCTACTCATGAAAGCTCCATATACATATTTGATTCAGAATTTCTTTAACAGATAACTCAACACATGACACATTTACTTTTCACAGTTTTTAACATTTTCCCTGTCCCAATGATACATTATGACTAATTTTCGTCTTCATCATCTAAAAAGCTAGATTTCATCCTATAAGTTTGCATTTATACAATACTGTAGCAAATAACACGCTTGAACTAAAATGTAAGCAACCTTCTACTGCTTATTCTACATGCCGGAAAAGACAATTTCATATTATGCCCAATTTGAAATCGTACATACAGTACAAGTTAATTATCCGATAAAGTAATACGCGAATTGCGAAAAAAGGAGGTACCAGAACGTTTCTTTTGCAGCGATAGTGAATGGATGCGCTGGAGGAGTCAGTCTGGAGTCTCTCCAGCTTTGCTAATGCTTCCATGGCTCCGGCGAAGCTCGAAAGACGGCGAATTTCGAGTCCACAGTCCACTTCAACAAGTCTGATTCTTCCAAAAGCAATTGTTCGATGGTTTTTTTGCAAAATATAGTTTTGGTCCGTCGAGTATAGCTTAATTCGAAATTAGTCCTTTGTCAATTATCACTTGCTAGGAGAAATAGTTACTCCCACGTTTTAATTTATTTGTCTAGTTTTAACTTGATACACAATTTAAGAAAAAAAATTTAAATCTTGTTGACTTAAACTAAATATATATATAGAGTTCCAAAATGTTATTACTCTTTTGATCATAAACATGTCATGCGAAAAGTTGAAATTAAAAAATCATAAAAAAATAGAGAATTTTTTTTTTAAACAGACTAAAAAGGAAGTAAGACAAACAAATTGAAATTAATAAAACATTATTACATTGTTATTGATTTCCCTTGTTATCAAGGTGTCTATTTGTGGCTGAACATATCCGAATTCATGGTGCATACATTTTAAGTGGGACTTAACTCAATACCTTATGGTACCAAGTAACAATTAACCGATAGCCACATTGCACTAAATATATATATATATATATTTATTTATTCTCGAAGGCATCCCTCTCCTTCAACAAAATTTGCGACATGTCAACTCTTAGTACGATTCTTAACTTTATATCGAGTTAAATCACATGTCCACAACTTGTGTGCCCCAGTCAATTCCTTTTTGAAACTATAGTTATGTATCTTAAAACAATCTAAATATGTATTTGTCATATTACGTAATTTTTTTATTTTTTTTCTTATTACTTGACACCTCATACCTACCTATAACTAAAGTCTAAAAATTAGTATAGTAATATTATAAAGGAAAGACGAGAGACATCTTTGCCACTAATTGATAGATTACTGTAAAAGATTTAAATTACGCTGAAAATAAGTGGAAATAATATTTAATTATTCATTCTCCTAAAAATAATATATAAAAAAGATCGTTTTATTATAGCATTACCGTTAATTTCCTTTTAATAGTCTAATTATGTCTAAAATTGTTTCACCAATTTTCTTCAAGGAGACGTGCAAGAGAGAGTTCTATAACCCAAACGGACCCTTAAATTCGGAAATATGTTTAATTTGCATTATTTTGCTTACATCTCAAAAAGGTGAGTACAATGACCAACTTTTTATGATCTTTTAGCTGAAAAGAAAAGCAAAGGTATAGAGGTCATGAATGGGAGCTAGCTAGTCACGTTTAAGATAGCTAGCAGAGAGGCATGTTCTGGATTTGAAGATCAGTTATGAATCACCATAAAAATAGATGCATGTTAGTAAAAATGATGTTACACAATTTTTTTTTTATGTAAATTAAAGGAATGATTAAGGCAAGAAGAAAATAGTGGAGACAGGCGCGATCCATGATGGGTTACGAGAAGAAAAAAAAAAGACCTTGGCTTTAGGCTTTTTGACAAACCATGGAATTTTATTTTTTTTACTAATACCGCTGGCAGAAACAATGCTAAACAACGACCTAGTTTTAATTAATCAGTGGGCAAAATCAATATTCTATAATGTTACTGTACAAAAGACTTCTACTACTTCTCATGGTTGAATTTTACGAAAAACACATATTAATAAACCGTGTTTATAAAGGAAAATTAAATAAGTAACCGTACTTCCAATGTACGCTAGCTAGCTATTTTGATTTTCTCCACACTTTAGTCATCAATATTTATTATAAGCACTGCTCTAATTTGACCATTGTGTGCCTAATATGCTGCTATTTTAACATGTAATGAGGTCAAATGGGTCTTATAATATAAAAATGGTTTATAATGAGTAATGTTAATAAATGACATGGGATACCAACTGTAAAAGAACTGTTGAGAATTGGAAGGTTCTGATTTATTTTATACACCATCTTTCCTATATAAGTTAGTTTGACTCGACACAAATTTAAAAAAAGAAAGAAAGAGTTTTAAAATTTATGGTCTAAAATTAATGATAAAAATTTGTGTAGCTATAAATCATTTCATTAAGGATAAAATAGACATTTTAAAGTTAAATTGTTACTTAATATAGAAACGTGTCATTTTTTTTAAAACCGACTAAAAAGGATAATACATCATGTTAACCGAGACAGAGGTAGTAAGAGACGTGGGCATATTAAGAGGGACATTGAGAATATGTATGTACTATTATAAAGAGGTGAATCTAAGACATAAATCTTAATCTGAATACAATTTATTATTCGAATATAGTCACACTCAAAAAGAAAACTTCTCGAATAAAAATTGTTTTCTTGTGAAATAAGTCGACCTCTTTTACGTATTTGATGTGATTTTTGTCGAATTGGGTAGCAAGAAATCTATTTACTTTTCTAGATAGTCGTCTTTATTTAGCTAACCCCACCATTTGAAAACTCCGGTGCATTATTCTTTACTAATTTATTTTTTGTGCCAACAGTACAAAATATTTTTACATTATGAGATTAAATTAACTACAACAATGGATAATACCTATATATGGTTACGAGAAAAATAAAGTAATGCTATTGATAGTTAACTCTGCACAATATCACTACATATTAATAATGTCATTTCATAATACCTCTTATTATAAACACATTATGATATTCGTTCATTACATATATTATCTAAAAAAGTGAATAAATACATGTTTTTGCCTCTGTCAATACGTGTGCTTATTAGTTAGTATACTTTAACTCAACAAAGTTAATAGTTAAAGTAATAGATGTACAAATCCATAGCCAACCCTGAAACCACCCCTAGTTTTGAAGCATTAAAAATGGAACAAATTAATGGCCGCATTATAAGTTATCAAATGAAAAAATACACCGTCTCAAGTTTTAAAGTCTTTAAAATCCCACCAATTGTTATATTATATTAGCTTTATTTTCTTTCTAGACCTGATATTTTGACTATCGTAAAAAGTAAAAACTCAACTCAATTGAAAAGATATCACAATACTCCCTCCATTTTAATGCATTCGAGATGTATCTTATTAAATTAATCTTGTTAATAATATTTTTATTTTTAAATTTGATCATATTGTACTAAGTATTTTTTTTTTTGATTTGCTAAAATTAAGTAGATGAAAGCCTCTTTCTTTTCTATCAAGTACTCCCTCCGTTTAAAAAAGATTGGTCTGGTTTGACTTGGCACGGAGTTTAAGAAATTAAAGAAGACTTTTGAATCTTGTGGTCCTAAATTAAAGTTATGTCAAATGTACAAAATTGTCCTTAATCTTGTGGTCTTAATCATGTCACGTGGAAAGTTAAAAGTAAAATGTTGCCAAAAAAAGAAAGAGGTCATTCTTTTGAAATTGACTAAAAAGAAAAGGAGGTTTCTTTGTGAAACGGAGGGAGTAGTACTTATTTTTTACCTCAACTTTGGAATAGTGCATTTCGAAGTAAAAGAATGTAGTGTTCCGCATAAACAATGAACCCGCTAGGATGGATGAGCTCCTGTTCATTTAGGTATAGTTCCGTTTATTCTCTTATCAATTTTTCTATCCTATTTAGGTTCGAAAACTTTCACAAAATGAAAACGGACAACATGGTTGTAATTATAAATAATATACTAGTATTATTTTACGAAAGATTTTTTTTTTTTTTTTTCCAATGCTTCTCGGAAGATTGACCGTTGAAAAATCCAACACATTGCACCAACTTTTCCATTATTTTGTTCTCTTTCCCTCGCCAATCTCTCTATATAACTACACCATTTGCCTCCTTCATTCACCAAAAACCTTAATTTTTCTCTACTAGAAAATACACAATCTTTTCTTCACACACAAGTAATACATTAATCATGAAAAATAGTAGTTCATCATCATCACTTGGCCCTGGTGGTCTAGACTTGAGCCAAGTTTTTTTCAAGTCAATTTCCAATGCTGCCCCTCCTTCACCCACAAAACGCCACACTAAAATCTCCGTCATCGGCGTCGGAAACGTCGGTATGGCAATTGCACAAACAATCCTAACACAAGACCTAGCCGACGAGCTTGCACTCGTCGACGCAAAATCCGACAAGCTCCGAGGAGAAATGCTGGATCTTCAGCACGCGGCAGCGTTTCTGCCGCGTACGAAGATCAACGCATCGACTGATTACTCGGTTACTTCCGGGTCGGATCTTTGCATTGTAACTGCAGGTGCCCGACAGAATCCGGGTGAGAGTAGGTTGAATTTGTTGCAGAGGAATGTGGCTCTGTTTAAGAGTATTATTCCGCCGTTGGTGAAGTATTCGCCGGACACTACGCTTCTAGTAGTTTCGAATCCGGTAGATGTGCTGACGTATGTTGCTTGGAAATTGTCTGGGTTTCCGGCGAATCGGGTTATCGGGTCGGGAACGAATTTGGATTCTTCTAGATTTCGGTTTTTGATTGCGGATCATCTTGATGTTAATGCCCAGGATGTACAGGTTAGTGCTTCATTTTCTACCTACTTAATTTAAATTTCTAGATTTGTTTTAGTTATTGCTTAGGTTAGTTAATGATATTACTAACTCCGTTTCATTTCAATTATCTTAGTTTGACTGATTGTGAAATTTAAGAAATTATGAATTTGGTATGTTTAAACTAAAAATGAATATAATGCGTCAAAATGTATTTTGAATATTGTGTCTTCAATATGTCATAGAATGTTGTAAGTGAAAAATTACTGTAAATATAAAAAGTGACATTCCTATATGAAAATTTAAGAAGATCTAGTTGTTGCTTTTCTTAAAATAGTTGTCACGTTTCGCTTTTCAAGAGTTAATCTAACTAAATTACTCGGGAGTTTAATCTAACTAAATTTTAAAGCTAAATTAGATTAGATTAATTCAATATTTCAAAATTAAAATTAAAGTAGTTAAAAAATATACAGAAGTATTACAAATTGCAATGCTCTCATATCAATATAATGAAAAAATAAGTGTCAAAGTTCATGTTGTTTGGCTCTAAAAAGTGAAATTGTGACAAAGATTTGAAATAGAGGGAATAGTTAAAAAGATACTTTCTTTGTCCCAAAATTAGTGTCACCTTAGCTTGTTTCACGTCTATCAAGAAAAATAAGAGTAAATAAAAGGTATTCCCTCCATCCGATATTACTAAAGAGACTTATTTTTGGATGGAGGGAGTTAGGGAGTAAACAAGACACTTACATTGAAATTGAAGGCATCCTATTTCCCAAGTAGGAAGGGAAAAAAAACTCCTATTTTCCAAGTTCGACAGATAGAAATGAGCTAACACATTACAACAACAACATACCTAGTGTAAATCCACAATATAGTAATTAAAATTTGATTTTCCCATTGAATTTACAAAGTATTTGAGTCGAATTTAACATTTGATTAATACCACTAGAATATAAGTATCTTGTGTTCTGTGTGTATTGTTTAAGTGAAAGTAATATACTTATCTGATATTTATATATTTCTAGGCATACATTGTTGGAGAGCATGGTGATAGCTCAGTGGCACTTTGGTCAGGCATTAGTGTAGGAGGAGTGCCAGTCCTCAGTTTCCTTGAGAGGCAACAAATTGCTTTGGAAAAAGAGACACTGGAAAAAATCCACCAAGAAGTTGTGCACAGTGCATATGAAGTGATTAGTCTGAAAGGTTACACATCATGGGCAATTGGCTACTCTGTTGCTAACTTGGCTCGAACAATCCTTCGCGATCAAAGAAGGATTCATCCTGTTTCGGTTCTTGCAAAGGGGTTTTATGGCATTGATGGTGGCGATGTGTTCTTGAGCTTGCCTGCACAGCTTGGTAGAAGTGGAGTTTTGGGCGTGACGAATGTGCATCTTACTGATGAAGAAATTGAGCAACTTAGGAACTCTGCTAAGACTATTTTGGAAGTGCAGAGTCAGTTGGGAATTTGAAAAAATAGCACTAGCAACTGATCAGTTACTATACAACTATGTTGTTTCTTACCATACAGTTTGTTGAATTTTGTTTTGTTTGTAATATTCTTATAGCAGTTAGTCATATGACATATTGGCTACCTGCTAGCTAGTGCTCTGTGGTGCTAACTTTGAAATAAATTGTAACAGAGCCTCTTATGCCACTTTATAGAAATTTGATTTTATCATACTTCTAAGTTCTAAGTTCTAAGTTCATATGCTTCGTAGGTGAGTGACTTTCTAAGATAATTATCATTAATTGAGTGACTTTTGTTTTACTAAATAAAGTTGGATGACTTTTTGAGATAACAATTATTAGTTGATTAGTGACCGTTTGAAAAATTATCTCTAGATACTTGTCATTGAACAATTTGTTATGATTCAAAAGTTACTTTTAAATTAGCAGAGGCATTTTGCTCTAGGTAAAGTACAGGGAATTAAGATAAATGTATCCTAATCATCATTTGTAAATTTGAATATCTTCAAGAGTATTAGTCCACCTCTAGCAAAGCGCACATCGATTCATAGGGAGATTCAAGATTATGATTTCTTTTAACAACGTCAAGTTCATTCATATTAATAATTTAATATTACAACAATAATCAAGTTTATGTTCAAATATTTATATATATTTAGTGAATTTCTTAATATATATACAAGTTTGAGCAAAAGTTACAGAGTCACTGATGGTTCAGCTGAAGGCGCATGTGCACCAGGAGGTGGACGGAAGAATTGACAGGGTTATAGACCGGAGAATCAAGCAGATGCTCTGATGGGGTAGTTGGGAACTGCGCATTTTTCAAGTTTGGTAAGACAAAGTGTGTGGATACTTTGGCCAAGAACCAAGTAATACTATTTGCTTGGTTTTCGATCCTAGCATCACATCATTCTGTCATAGTACGTCAATATTTCAACAGAACCTTTCCCAGCCTATAAAGTTTAGATCACATAACAAACATTAATATAATCCACGTGATGCTGGTCATTTAGCCACAGAATAAAGAAACCACAGCCACAAAAGAGTTCTTTAGTAAAATTACCCTTTACTCAACAAAAAAAAAGAAAAGAGTTCTTTAGTATTCGTCCAACACTAAGATCAACAAACAGCTTAAAGTAATTTTACCATAAATCGACACAGTAAACAACAAACAAGTTCGTCCATAGTAAAAACACACACAACAAAATGCAACTGGCATCTGGACAACATGGTACAGTAAAGTCATCAAAGCATAACAATTCTTTTTCTGATAAGTATGTCAACAAAGCATAACTGATTCACACAAATAAAGATAAAACAGAATTGGAATTCAATAAATGGAGACTTACAAATGGAATTTTGGAGGCTTTATCATTCCAAACAGCTAACAGTCCAATCCCCACAAAACAACTCAACCCACCGCACAACCAAGCCAATGCTTCATACTGACATTAAAAGCAGTTCAAGAATCTTCAATTATCTTATATAAATACCTAGACTAGCAAAAATGAAAAACTCGAAATCGTGAACTGTAAAAGCCATGAAGATGGTTCAAATACTAATCCCCTTTCCAACAGATACAAAATCCTAAGATTTCACATATAGAAGTCTTCAAGTTCCAGATTATAATTAATTTGACTAACAAACTAAAGGGTGAAACAATGAATTGGGGATTCGTAAACAAATCTTGAGCCAAAAATCTAACCTTTCCAACAGATATAAAATCTTCATGATTTAATCTACTATCAAAAATAAAAATTGTAAAAGAATAAACATGGGATTCAAATAGGGATCCTAATCAGAATATCAAACCTTTCTAACATCAGCAAGCAAATCTCCAATTAACATTGAAACTAATTTGACGAAAAATGAAAAATTGTAAACGATAGAAAATGAAATGGGGATTTAACAACAAATCTTAAATTAGAACAAAAAATCTAACCTTTCCAACGGTATCTGCTATGCGATCGATACAAGGCTCGGGAAAAGGAGTACCATTGTCCCATGTAAGTTCATCATTCACATGAAGCTACAATCACAACGAAACAAAATTAAAACTAAGTTAGGGTTTGCCAATCAAATTTATAAAGAAAAAACAAATGGAACCTAAGGACGTATTAATTACTGTACGTATTTATACTATAGGCATTACCGGCTTATCAGGTACAATATGTTTGCCGACGGGAAGCCCCATGCCGGCGCGTGTTCGAAGAGAGGATGCGACGGACCGGGCGACGACACCGTTTCCGCCCATAATGCGAGTAGCTACATTACTCAATCTTCCGGCCATTTTCCGATGATCGGAATCGTTCGTATCTCGCCAATTGTTCTTCGGAATTCAACGATTTGTGATTCAGTTCAATGTTCTTTACCTAGTAGAGATTGTGTTACTGTACTTAGGCAATGAACTCGAACGACGCCGTTTAGTAATTTCATTATTTTATCTTTTGGTCCTACTTTCTGTGTAACTACCATTAACAGCACCAAAGTTTACTAGTGTACACAAAATCGTCCCCCTAAAGTTGGAAATAAAAACATTTTGAATGTAGGGTGTGTTTGGTATGAAGGAAAACATTTTCCGGAAAATGTTTTCCTTCATACCAAACACACCCTACATTCAAAATGTTTTTATTTCCAACTTTAGGGGGACGATTTTGTGTACACTAGTAAACTTTGGTGCTGTTAATGGTAGTTACACAGAAAGTAGGACCAAAAGATAAAATAATGAAATTACTAAACGGCGTCGTTCGAGTTCATTGCCTAAGTACAGTAACACAATCTCTACTAGGTAAAGAACATTGAACTGAATCACAAATCGTTGAATTCCGAAGAACAATTGGCGAGATACGAACGATTCCGATCATCGGAAAATGGCCGGAAGATTGAGTAATGTAGCTACTCGCATTATGGGCGGAAACGGTGTCGTCGCCCGGTCCGTCGCATCCTCTCTTCGAACACGCGCCGGCATGGGGCTTCCCGTCGGCAAACATATTGTACCTGATAAGCCGGTAATGCCTATAGTATAAATACGTACAGTAATTAATACGTCCTTAGGTTCCATTTGTTTTTTCTTTATAAATTTGATTGGCAAACCCTAACTTAGTTTTAATTTTGTTTCGTTGTGATTGTAGCTTCATGTGAATGATGAACTTACATGGGACAATGGTACTCCTTTTCCCGAGCCTTGTATCGATCGCATAGCAGATACCGTTGGAAAGGTTAGATTTTTTGTTCTAATTTAAGATTTGTTGTTAAATCCCCATTTCATTTGCTATCGTTTACAATTCTTCATTTTTAGTCAAATTAGTTTTATTTTTTATAACTTAGTTTTAATTTTGTTTCGTTGTGATTGTAGCTTCATGTGAATGATGAACTTACATGGGACAATGGTACTCCTTTTCCCGAGCCTTGTATCGATCGCATAGCAGATACCGTTGGAAAGGTTAGATTTTTTGTTCTAATTTAAGATTTGTTGTTAAATCCCCATTTCATTTTCTATCGTTTACAATTTTTCATTTTTCGTCAAATTAGTTTCAATGTTAATTGGAGATTTGCTTGCTGATGTTAGAAAGGTTTGATATTCTGATTAGGATCCCTATTTGAATCCCATGTTTATTCTTTTACAATTTTTATTTTTGATAGTAGATTAAATCATGAAGATTTTATATCTGTTGGAAAGGTTAGATTTTTGGCTCAAGATTTGTTTACGAATCCCCAATTCATTGTTTCACCCTTTAGTTTGTTAGTCAAATTAATTATAATCTGGAACTTGAAGACTTCTATATGTGAAATCTTAGGATTTTGTATCTGTTGGAAAGGGGATTAGTATTTGAACCATCTTCATGGCTTTTACAGTTCACGATTTCGAGTTTTTCATTTTTGCTAGTCTAGGTATTTATATAAGATAATTGAAGATTCTTGAACTGCTTTTAATGTCAGTATGAAGCATTGGCTTGGTTGTGCGGTGGGTTGAGTTGTTTTGTGGGGATTGGACTGTTAGCTGTTTGGAATGATAAAGCCTCCAAAATTCCATTTGTAAGTCTCCATTTATTGAATTCCAATTCTGTTTTATCTTTATTTGTGTGAATCAGTTATGCTTTGTTGACATACTTATCAGAAAAAGAATTGTTATGCTTTGATGACTTTACTGTACCATGTTGTCCAGATGCCAGTTGCATTTTGTTGTGTGTGTTTTTACTATGGACGAACTTGTTTGTTGTTTACTGTGTCGATTTATGGTAAAATTACTTTAAGCTGTTTGTTGATCTTAGTGTTGGACGAATACTAAAGAACTCTTTTCTTTTTTTTTGTTGAGTAAAGGGTAATTTTACTAAAGAACTCTTTTGTGGCTGTGGTTTCTTTATTCTGTGGCTAAATGACCAGCATCACGTGGATTATATTAATGTTTGTTATGTGATCTAAACTTTATAGGCTGGGAAAGGTTCTGTTGAAATATTGACGTACTATGACAGAATGATGTGATGCTAGGATCGAAAACCAAGCAAATAGTATTACTTGGTTCTTGGCCAAAGTATCCACACACTTTGTCTTACCAAACTTGAAAAATGCGCAGTTCCCAACTACCCCATCAGAGCATCTGCTTGATTCTCCGGTCTATAACCCTGTCAATTCTTCCGTCCACCTCCTGGTGCACATGCGCCTTCAGCTGAACCATCAGTGAAGAGGAGGATTGCTGGAGGTTTTACCACCTATAGTCAATCCAGTAATCCACCACTAGTTATACTGCCTTTGGTTATTTCTTAAAAAGAAAAGGCTGTCTCTAGTACGATGGTGAAAACGTCTCTGGTGTAGTACTTCAAGTATCGGTAGAGATAGTATCTTCATTTTTTCTATGCACCACCTTAAGGACTTTTCTTTTCTTAACCTAAATTACTTCCTATTTCTGGGGCTGCAAGCACTAGTAGCTTGTGGTTAGAATTCTTCACCTGAATTTGTTCAATTAGAGCTTTCTATCCTACATTGTTTTTCCATGGCAATTTTCCTCATTGCTCCTTTCGAGTTTGGTATGAAGAAAAATGTTTTCGGAAAGCGTCTTCCCATGCTCTCCTGTTTGGTAGTGTTAAATACTTAGGAAGATGTTTTCCTAAGATTAGTAGATATACCTTGTACTGGTTCTGTCAACTTTTGAATTTTTCATCCTCTGGATGCTGTTTTAGTGAAATCTCGTTTTCTTCACCAAAGTTTCTGTTTACTCGGTTAGATTGTAGGTCATTGAAGAAGCCTAAGTTTTTACTCAATTAAATGTATTTTGTTTCCATGATGAAGTGCTAAAAGATGAGAAATGTTTGCTGAAAGAATATACAAAGAAACGTCTTGCATCATATCCTTTTTTTAATTTATATTGTGCAGTAAATTCAAGGCTAGATGCTCTTTACTAATACTAGTCATGCGCTAGCTTTGTCGACAATTTTGTTGTATTCATCAAGTTGTTTGCTGTTGATTTTGATTTGCTGAAAGAAGTTTCATTAGCTTATTGTTTTAGAGAAAAAATCTATGTGTTCAATATGTCATAAGGTACTAGTTGGAGTTTAAGGGTGTGCGTTTGCAGGATTGAAGAAAGTTCTATCCTGAAAATGGAAAAGGGTCAAAAATACCAGCAACGTATTGAAAATGACTTAAAATTTCCCTCCTCCTACCTATTGAACCAAAGTTACCCTTAGCATTAAATTCAAGCCTAAATTTGCCCCTTGTAACGGAAGCAAATATGGAATATATGGTCTTTTTATTTAAATATGTGGCATTAATTTATTGGTCCATATGTAGTTACTAGTTAGATCCAATCTATTTACCACCCAACCCATGAACCCAAACCCATTTTAAAAAGACCCGCACCACTTCATCCTCTTGATTCTCTCAATGACGAAGACTTAATCACCTTGCTGCCAGCATCATACCCATGATAATGTGAAGGAACACCAGCAATGCTACTCAAGTATTGAACTTGAGCATGGTTGCCTAATCCCGGTCTGGAATCAGCAATCTGTTTGATTACGTACTGCTGTATAACTAAATGCCTAATTGTCTTCGATGCTGAAAGAGACAATGACATTTTGGAAAGAACTAGAACAAATCAAAAGTTTCTCTGTTTTTTTTTTCCCCACTCTTCTGATGCAATTACAATTGAAGGCAGAACCATTGGGATGCCTTCATAGTGACAAAATATCAAAATCTCTTGAATGATGAATGGATTCTTGACCCGATGAAAATATAATTGAGTTGATTATAAAATAGGAAAAAAGAACAAAAATCTTGAAGGTGGATTTGTAACATAACCCTAATTGAAGAAAATGACTAAGAAGAAGAATGTACCTGTGGATAATTCAATAGAGAAATTTAGGCAGAGAAACGAAGAAAGGGGGGAGGTTCCATTTGAATATAAAGATTGGGAAGCAAAACAAATTATAGAAGGCCATAGGAGGTATTAATAATTTATTTATATACTTGTCAAATTATTTCTGAGTATACAGATTTCAAAGAATTCTTTGATATGCATCATCTTGGTCTGAGGTGAATGAAGAGGATGAAGTTGTGGGGGTCTTCTAAAAACATGTTTGGATTAATGGGTTAGGTTGTGAATGAATTGGGTCTAATTATATGTGGATCAACAAATCAATACCTCATTTTTAATTTTCATATTTTCCACATCTGTTCCGTTAAAAGGAGGGGGTGATTTGAGGCTTAAATTCAATGTCAAGGGCAATTTCGGTCCAATAGGTGGAAAGAGGGTAATTTTAAGCCATATTCAATATGCCAAGGACATCTTTGACCCTTTCCTGTTCTAAAAGATAAAGGTGAGAGCATTTAGAATTAAGGAAGAGACCAAACTGTTTCACTCACCTAGTATGATATAGCAGGAATTTTAGATTCTATTATTTTTGGGCACGACGATTCACTGTCTGAATGAGGCTATGTTAATGTACAATGGATACCGGTTGTTGCTGACCTGTTGTGCTTATCACATAAACTTTTCATTCAAGTGATTAAAATGGTTTCAGAAGTCAAGATTTCAGAGTGAAGGATGTGAACTAGATTTTCCTTCTTTGGAATCTAAATCCTTAATCATTTCAACAACATGGACTGCTCTTGGCTTTTATTTAGAGCAGCTGATGATTTGACACTACACTGGCTAGTTAGTTCCACAGGCTGTACTAGAAGTGTATGATACTGTCTAGATGTTTCAAAGGCTGTATCGTAGTGATTGTATTAATCATTTGCTTATTTCCAAATCACCTGGGCGGGAATGTCATTCGAGATTGTGCTTTAAGCTGTACTGGCACTATCAATATCCTTAGTTGCAAGAGAGAAGCATTTTAGAGAGGTAGAAATGACTTCCACCTTACTAGTGGGGAAAATTCATTGA